GCGCAGTGAAGAGCGTTTGCTCCACGTAACCCACACCCTCCTCACTGGCCGCTCTAGCTTCACACTGTCGCCTGCGCACTGAGTCCAATCGCGCCCGCGGTTCCCTCAAACTGCGCCTGCGTCTAGCGTAGGCTCGCCCTCTTTACGCTTGCGCACTGATTCTAGGAACCACATCCCCAACCAGCGCCTGCGCACTAGCAACTCCCCAATGTCCCCACCGTGCGTATCTTGGTCCTTCTTAACCCAGCTCACCCGGTCTCTTGGCATAATCCCGTACAAGGAGTCTTCCAGGATCGGCGGGGTCCAGGAGCTCCCTGGCTCGCCAGCCAGCCCAGGTCCGGGTAGCCCCGAAGAAGCGTCTGGCCGCCATGACGCACGCCGCGCGCCTGCACGTGCACGTTTCCGAGAGACGTCAGCGGCCAAGGGGTGCTTGGGAGTTGTAGGCTCCTAGAGATTTCTGGGAAATGTAGTATTCCAGCCTTAGGCGTACATTCCTTGTGACTTACTTAAACTTTTATAGGTATCCCCAGTTACTGTATGAGGCGACTTTCAAAGGATGTTTCGTTGACTTCTTGCCCTTCTTCAGTTAGTTACCATTTACTCCAAAGATCACACCTTATACATTCCTGATTCTATTCAATGAGCGATTACTGAAAGCCTAAAAGTAATAAATAGGTCACACATGTTAGACTCATTATATTCTGGCCCTATTGCTAAATATTTAACTAGTTTATCTCTAATCCTTACAGTTAGGAGGTAAGCACTATTATTATCCCCAGTTTACAATCGAAGCCGAGGCTCAGGGAAGTAGAGTTAAGCCAGAACGCGCTATTCGGCCTTTCTACGGTGAGCCAAACCGGAAGTCCGTCTACAATAGAGTCCCCGCGCTGCTTCCGGTGTCCCCGGAGTCGAAAGAGTCCACCTCTCACTCTCCTTTAGTATTTTCCAGTCCCATTTCTCCCATCTGCTATCCCTTGGAAAAATGCCACAGCCCTAGGAGGCAGGCAGAGATTATGCATCCCACTTTGCAGTTGAGGAAAGAGGCCCAGAGGCCAGCCTGGGCTCCCACGCTGCACGCATGGAGGCCCGGGATTCGAACCCGTGTGCGAACACCTAGCGCTCGCGCGCGGCGAGGCTGGCTGGGAGAACTACATTTCCCAGCAGGCCCCGCGATCGTGCGCATGCCCAGTGGCGCAGGGAAGTGGCGGCGGCTGGAAGGAACAGGGAGAGCCCGGGGCGCCGGGTCCTGCGGCCGCGCGGGCTGGGGTCACCGCGGTTTGGGAAGTGAGTGTGCCCTGCGGGACAGAGCGGGGTCTGGGGCCGGTGTTTGGGGTCAGGGGTCCGAAGTCTTGAGTGTGGGGTCTGCATGAGGACTGCGGTCTTAACTTTTAGCTCTAGGCTCGACTTCGGTCCTTAGGATGGGTTCTGAGGTCCGGGTCTGGGTCTCGGGTCGATCGGGATCGTGGCTTTGGAGGTTCGGAGATAAAAGTCTGCTTTCTGGCGTCTCGGATCTCTGGTATTAAGTCTGGGGTCCTGGGTCTGAAGTCTTGGTCTGGGATCTTGAGTCCGGGGTCTCGGGGACCTGAACCTATGGGGTCTCCACCCCGGGTCCCACGTCGCGCGGGAGGAAGATTCGGGAGAACCAGGGCTGGGGTGAACAGGGTCCGCGGATGGGGAGAGGGCTTGGGTGACGGGTGCCGGGGAATCCTCGGGGTTTGGAGCCTGGGAAGCCACTGCCCTACAGCTGCTCATTCCGTGCCTCAGTTTCCCCATCTGAAAATGGGGATCGTAGCAGACCCTTCCTTGCAGGGTATGGAGGGCTTAAATTATGTGTTCTCTCTTTCAGATGCTAGCCTGAGCCTGGGGTCCAGGCATGGAATTCCTGACGGCCTCCCAGCCCCCTCCAGGGCCTCCGGCCATGGACCTGGAGGAGCCCAGGGATGCCCTTTCCTCTCAGGACCCCACCCCTGACTGCCAGTGGAACCCGCCGCTGGGACACCCCAGCAGCCTGAGTCAGATGGAACTGGACGGGCCGAGTATCCAGGACCTGGTGCAGCAGTTTGAGGCTCTGCCGGGTGATCTAGTGGGCCTGTCCCCGGAGGGACCCCCCTGCCCCCTGCACATTGCCACTGGCCGCGGCCTGGCCCCCCAGGACGTCGCCGATGCCCATGGGCTGCTGTCCGCCGAGGCCGGCCGGGACGACCTGCTGAACCTTTTGCGCTGCGAGGAGTGCTCTCCTTCCTGTTCGTGTTCCGAGGAGCCCCTGGACCCTGCTCCTCACCTTTTGCAGCCCCCCGAGGCCCCGGAGGAGGATCCCGGCCCCCCGGAATGGACAGAGGGAGCGTCTGCCGAGCGACGTGGCAGCAGAAGCCCGAGCAGCTCCCCGGAACCCTGGCTGGAGACTGTGCCTCTGGTGGCTCCTGCAGAGCCACCGGCCAGCGCCCAGGTACAGCCTGTCCTGCCCCCGGGCCTCCTCTGTGCCGGGAGCCGAGCCAGGACTCAGGCCTGCCCCTCTTCTGTCTCCTTCCAGAGCCCCGAGACCCTGGCATCATGCCCTGCCCTCCAGGAGGGTGAGTGTCCCGCCCACCCTGGGCCCAGCGACTTAGGGGTTCAGAACACCCCCATTCAGGCTCCCAGATTTGACAGAGCTTGCCAGTAAGGAGTTGCTTCCAGAGAGGCTGTGAGGTTGGTTTCTAGTAGATTCCAGATGGCCTGGGAGAGTAGAGACAGTCTTGATGATGTTCTAGAAGGAGTCGAGGGTGGTAGGGCAGGTGGCACTTCGGGATCGGTGGCGCTCCGTTCTAGAGCAGAGGTTGGCAAATGACCACATCTGGCCCGCCGCCTGTTCTGGTGCGTCCTGTGAGCTGAGGGTGGCTTGTGCGTTTTTAAATGGTTGGAAAAGAATCGGAAAAAAAAGAATACTTCTTGGCACGTAAAAAGGATACACAATTCAAATTTCAGTGTCCACAAATAAAGTTTTATTGGACCACCGTCATGTCCATTCGTTTATGTGTCAAATGTGGCGGCTTTTGTGTTACGATGGCCGGGCTGAGTAGTTGCGACAGAGACCATCTGGCCCCTGAGGACAAACATATTTACTGTTTCACGCTTTGCAGAAAAAGTTTGCCAACCTCTGCTGCCCTAAAGGATTGGAAGAATCAGTTCTGGCCACCTGGAATGTTCTAGAATGTCCCCCCAGACTACCTGAGGCTGTAGGTCGAAGAGCAAGTTCTATGGTTGTGGGAAGGGGAGCTGATCTGGACCTGTAGTTCCAGAAGGTTCTGGACTCATGAGTGGAGCTGTGACTCACCTGGGGAGTTCTAGAACTTGCCATTTTTGCCTGTGGTTCTAGATTAAAGGAACCCGGGTTGATGAGATGATCTGGAATGCTGAACAGAGCTGTCTGGTTCTACTCAGACTAGGAGTTCTAGAACCACGGTGAATGAAACTTATCCACGGTTCTAGAGCAACAAGAGGTGTTCTAGAACTATGGACAGGGCCATGTGATTCTGGAGTAATCAAAGTTCTAGAGCCGTGCTATACAATAAGAATATAATGTGAGCCAGATGTGATTTTAAATTTTCTAGTTATCCACATAAAAAATAAAACAGGTAAAATTAACTTAATAACATTTTAACTAATCTAATACATTTAAAATATTTATTTTGACACATGGTATCTTACAATTATCTTACATATTTCCATACTAAGTCTTCGAAATTCAGTTGTGTTTTGCACGTATAGTCCATCTCAGTCTGGAGTGGTCACATTTCAAGGGCACAGTATCCACCTGTGGCTACCATATTAGCCTAGTTCTAGAACCCCAGAGTGGAGTTGTCTCTTGTTCCAGAATGCTTAGGTCGTGAAGGACAACGGGCAGAGCTGGCTGTGGCTTAAATTCACGTAGAGTGTCCAGAACTGGGGCCTATACCTGTGGTTCTAAACCAAAAAGAAGTAGATACTGGTTAGAACATTCTAGAACTGCTGCAGAGCTGTCTTGTTCTAGATGGCTCAGGGAAATTCTAGAGCCGTGGGGCCAGAGCTCTATGTGATTCTGGGCTGGGTCAGGGGAATTCTAGAACCACGGGCAAGTTGTTTGTTTCTGGACTGTTCAGATAATTCTTAGGAGCACTGGGTGCAGCTGAGGTCATGAACTATTTGAGAATGTTCTAGAACCTTAGGAAGAGCTACCCAATGCTGTCATGATTAAGAAGCTCTAGAATCACGGAGTGGAAAAGTCTATAATTCTGGAGTGATGTATGTTTCCGTAACCCCTGGCAGAGTCCTGTGGTTTGAGACCTGTCAGGGAGTTCTAGAATCGTGGATCGGAGCCATCTGGGGTTCTGGACAGTGTGAGAGTTTTAGAAATGAGGACAGTTACCTCTTTCTACTCTGGTTGAGCAGTTCTGTGACCATGGAGTCAAGTTGCCTGTGTTCCTGGGCTGATTAGAGAGAATTCTAGAAAAATGAGTAGAGTTGACTAGTCCTAGATTGATGAGAATTCCAGAACCATCCAGTGGAGTTGACTACAGTTCTATAACGTGGCCTGTTTTAGAAACGAGAGTGGGGCCATCTGGTTCTGGCCTGATCGCGGAATTCTAGAAACACAGGGTGGAGGTGGCTGTGAGCACTGGAGCTGTGTCTGGATCTGGCCGTGGTTCTGGACTCGCAGAAGCTCTCCAAACTGGGTCCTCTGCCTGGGGGTCCTTGAGCCGTGGACAGAGGCGGCTCTAGCGTGATGGAGGGTTCTAGATCTGTGAGGCCCGAGCCTCTGCTCTGCGGCTCTGGCAGACGGGACGCTGGGACAGTGTGTGGCCCCGTGCGGCTCAGGAGCGCCGACCCGTGGGGTAGAGCTCGGTGCTTCCAGATGGCTCAGGGAGCGGGGCCCCGGGCTGACCGTCGTCCGCCGTCGCCTCAGTGCCCGGGCCGTGTGACCACGAAGACCTCCTGGACGGCGTCATGTTCGGGGCCAAGTACCTGGGCTCCACGCAGCTGCTGTCGGAGCGCAGCCCGCCGCCCAGCGCGCGCAGGGCGCAGGCGCAGGAGGCGGTGGAGCGCGTCCAGGTGAGG